TATTTTCAACCAAAAGAGAAAGCACACATCTTAGCAAGCATCTTGAATCAACAGAAGGAATCCTAGTTGTCTCTTTAAAACAGAAGGCATACAAAATAAGAAGTAAAACAGGAAAAATAATCCAACTTAAATTTTAGCAGTTTATCCATTGAAAAATAAGCAAGTTAAAAGATTACACCTCCTAAGAAGAGACGTTATACTTCTACAATGTCTAAGTCCATTAAAAAGAGATAATCATATAACTCAATTTTTTATTCTATAATTAAAGTAACAAAATTTACTTAATAAAATAAGCTATCTTCATACAACACAGGTTCAGTACATCAACCTCAGTATTTCTCACTTGAAGAAGAGGCAACATGCTGCCGCATCATTTGCCCTTACCATTGAGAGAATAAGATCCAGCACACAATTATTTACAACATTTGACCCCATATGAGAAATTAAAATGATATATTGACATATATGTTATCCGTATGTGTGATTTTTCTTTGCAATGGCTTCTGAACAACACACTCAACAGCAGAGAAATCCCATGACTACAAATGTTTTTGCTGAACTCCAGCTTCTTTGCACCATTTGCTTGGCTTGATAAATGAATTTTTGTTTGCCAGTCATTTGATCTTGCATTATAGAATTTTCCAGGGAAGCCAGTATCAAACCCATGCAAAATCCAAATCCACCTCCTACAATCATTTCCAAAAACACATGGGAAATCATCAAGTGATCTGCTTTACTACAGAACCCCAAAAACCCTATGTGTTTCTCTGCAACATGGCAAGGTAATGTAATCAAACTAAAACAAATGTGCATTTGCTAAAAGAAAAGGGACAGCTTACTGCTGAAATCTTGAAATTTTAACAAATGCTCAGAGTAAGAGTACACACACACCCACAAAAAAAGGCAAAGATGAAAGCCACCATTTAACTCCAATTTCAGAGAAACAGATCATATCCTAATCATCCACTGCAGTGCTAGCCAGACCAGCATCTGAACCATCCAAACCTAATCATTAAGTAGATGTAATAAAATTGACCACAATCATGCTTAAAATAATAAAAGATCACCATATATGGAGCATCCAAGGTCATTCAAAAGATGAGAATAAATCACAAAGGAGAACCCAGCAGACTTCTAAAACTAAAAGTAACAGCCCTGCCATTTTTTATCAATCACAAAGAGCAATGGAAAATAACACACATGAGAAAGTCCATGTAAGGCCATAAATACCTATTAAGTTTCATTCTTGGTCCAACAGATAACTTTTTTTCCTTCATTTATATGTTATTTTCTGCTGCAGGTTGTCAGTGCAAACATTCAATAATTTCCCACCAACTTCAATTAGATAACTGAAAATGAAAGACTTTGTCAATAGAACTGCGGTTAGCACATAGCAAATCATATAGTTCAGCTCTTGGCATCACCACTATTTTGCATGAAAACCTGATTTAGCCAATAAAGTTGTGGTGAACCAATTAAACACTCACTGGTGATTGCCAACTGGTATCATTTAGACAAACTGATAGGCAAAACAGTAATCAAGCACTGTCAATTTTGCATCCATTCCTCTCATCAGGTCCAAATCTGTTTCAAAAAAAAAAAAAAAGGACTCACCAGCGGGCCATTTGTCAGTAACATGGGAAAATGGTG